GTCGTCTTAGTCGACATCTTTGGGTTTGTACTGTAGAACTGAGAGGAGGCTCAGAAGGGAGATGGGCTCTTCCTTCTTCTCCTTGACTTTCTTCTTCATGTTCTTGCAGAGTTCCCAGGCTCTTGTCAATAAAACCCTCCCCTTCCTTGATTTCCTGAAGGGTGGTGATCCTCTCCTGCAGGCTCTGAATGTTCTCCTCCAAAACCCTGACCAGCTTACACTTCTGGCAAGTGAAGTCCGTCTTCTCTTCCGGGAGGAAAACAAACACGGCACACTCCATGCAGGTGACTGGACAGGGGCCTTCAGTCAGTCGACACCATTGCCGTCCAAGTATATTCCCAGAGTTCTCTGAGCAGAGTATCGAGGCCCTTAGGCAGATCCTCAGGCCAAGAGCCACAGGCCACTTCCTGCAAAGCACAGCAGAGCTCAGCACACCTTTTCTGTTAAGATTTGGACTTAACCATTCGGCTCTCATCTGCAACTGAACTGAAGCCTAACACAGCTGTTTCTTACGGCTTTCCCCTGCTGTTGAAACTAATTTGTAAGTGCCTCTTATGTAGCACCATACATTTCTCTCCAGCACTGGTAATCCAAGAACTATCAAGACCTTCCTCTGCTCCCAGCCTTCAGGGGATGTGTGTCTCTCACCTGGTGTTAGCGAAATATTGGGACTCATGCTGGACTTTGATTCTAGTGGAGGAATCCATAGGATACCTCTGGCTCCCAGAAAGCCAGGGGGCAACCGAGCACTAGTGCCATTTTAAATCTGCCTGCCAGCTTAGCGTTTTGCATTTGTTGTAGGGGCTTTTTAAAAAGGCTTTCTAATAAATAAGTTTAGAGCCCAGTCTTTGTTTTGTTACACAAAGGGGTTTACCCATTTGTAATCATAGCGCTTCAGTTGATAGAGGCCGTGAGGTAGCCACAGAAATGGGTGCTCCTATGGAAATCTGGTGTCCAAAGCCCCAAATTACAGACGGGGGATTCTTTGTATGTGTGAGAGGGGTATGTTGACTGCCCCCTGGCGCCCTCCTTAAAGGGCATGCTTGGCTATGATTTAGCTATGATTTTGCAATGAGCCGAGGCATTATTTGGTCCTTTGTAATCACTGTGGAGAAAATCCTGTATACCTCAGACGTCAGGGCAGGAATTTTGCAGTTCTCTTTCAGACTGGGAGTTCTGATAAGGGCTGCCCTGATGTAGAACTCTAGTTATTTTCTTTCTTTAGTCCTACTAGGGGTGTGTGTGTGTGTGTGTGTGTAAAGTCACACCCAACTTCTGGGGACCCCAGCCAGGGGCTTCCGAGGCAAGTGAGCAGGAGAGGTGGTCTCCCATGGCCTTCCTCTGCAGAGCCTTCCTTGGAGGACTCCCTTCCAAGTACTGACCCGGCTTAGCTCCTGCGATCTGACAATACCGGGCTCTGCCAGGCTGCCTCCCCTCCCCAGACCAGGGCTATAGCTGGACATTAGTCTGGCTCTTCTTTTTTAGGTGTCACTTGTTATTAGAAGGCCTTCCCTCGTTTGTTGCTCTCATTTTGGGTATTCTGAATCCAGGCAGTGACGCTGGAATAAGTCCTCCCTCTGTCAGCTCTCTTGACTGGATTCCTTTGTCTTTCAGCAAACCCTTAGAAACCTACCCAGAGCCAAATAAGAAGCCGTTTGCCAAGAAAGGGGGCACCGCTACCCCCTCCTCCTCCACGTCTGGGCTGAAGAAATTCTTCACCTCCTTGAGCCAGAGCACCAAGCAGCGGCTGGGCAGGTTCCGCTGCTACAGCATGGAACAGATCTCTGCCTTGGGGGGAGATGCTCCAGCGGTGCCCGAAGAAGCAGGTGCAGGCGCCACGAGCTCCCCCAAAATGAAGAAAGCCCCTTCTCTGCAGTCCTTGCGGCTGGTGAGTCTCAGGGGAGTAGCTGGTGTGTCCTGTAGATCTCCAGACCAGAAGGAGTGGGACGTGGTTTGCAGAGGGCAGCCGTTTTCCAGCTGTGTCTCAGGGAGTCCGATCAGACGGCTCTTTAGATCCGCGCGAGACACAATTGCCTCACGGCTCTGAAGGTCATGTCCTTTATCTGGGAAATGTCCCTCTTCCGTGGGCATCCTGTTTTGCCACGCTTCGGAGCCGTACTTAAAAGATAGCACTTTAAATCTGGGGTTTTCGGTTACCTGCGGGACAACTGCAGACTTTCACCTGTCTGATCATTCCACCAGAGCGCAATCCTCCCGTCGGGGTGGTCTGGCATAAGACCATCCCGAGCGGGCGCCATTTAAAAAAATCTCTACACATGCGCGGATCAACAAGGACGTGCTGTCATGTCTATGCGCATGTGCAAAAAGTTTTTTTTTTAAAAAAAAAAACCCACCGCACGCCTCCTTCAACAAGAATGCAATGTGACACCTATGTGCATGCGCAAAAAGTTTTTTTTAAAAACCCCACCACACACGCCTCCTTCAGTGGACGCCATCTAGACAATCCACAACGGAGGCAGCACAGGGTAAGGCAATTCACTAGGGGGGATGTCTGGTCGTGCTGCGATGGATTAAAAAGATCGAGATAAAATTCAAACTGGCATAATGACGGGATTAGCTGCTCGTCTGAACGCCCCCAGGGAACTGCAAGGTCCCTACAAGGAGATTACCAGGAAAGCGGGCAGACGCTTTCTGAAAGACAGTTTCCCCCCCACCTCCCCCCACAAACTGGCAGTTCGCAGCTACAGGAGGGTAACAGGACTTCCAGGAGCCCTCTGTGTCCAGGCCCTCTAGGCAAAGATTCCCTCTGGGGGGCCCCAGACGCAACACAAGCACTGCATGAAAGCAGATCACATGACTTGCCCAGCTCCACAGGCCCCCAAGATGAATGGGTCCCCAGAAATGTGTCTCTGTGGCCCCACCTCTCAGCTGGCCTATAGCTACAGTGGGGCTATTGGGGGCAGCACCCCCTTCTTTAAAGGGCCAGCCCCACAAGATT